GTTTTTTTTTTTAAACCTGAATTTTTGGGGAAAGGATCAGGAATAATTTAGTTGTGTTAGTCAAAGATCCTCTCCTTGGGTTGCTAGATTGTTATCATTATAAGTTTTGGCTTGAATGGGCGTCTTGCATATCCATTTTAAAAACTCACGCTCGGTGGGAGTTTGGATCATCTGGATTTGCTCATTTCAAGACAGCGTGGAGGCCGGCTCCTGTAACTGCTCTACATCAGCTCGCTTTCTAAGTTTGTCAGTTTGAGAGAGAGAGTGAATTATTCTGTTATGAAATGTATGAGGACTCCTGCTGTGTACAGTTTGCCTGACCATCATGCATGCTATAAGCAGCTGTCGGGAGGCGTATACTGCATGGGGAGAAACAATCAATGTACACTTTTTGATGGGATTTTTTGTGCATAAACAGGATGTTGCTGTATGTGAAGCTGCAATCATCACGCTGATAAAAAAAGACTTCCCCCCCTACAGTTTTGCAATGAATGGAAGAGCCCAGTTAACAACAGGACAACATGAGGGCCAGCTGAGAGCTTATCAGAGTTTTCACAACTAATTGAGCGCCCCCGATCGTCGCAAAATAGCTGAGTAGTGCAACATTCACTACCACACTGTCCTTCTAAATGAAATGTTATTGTGTTGTATTTATTTGCGATGCAGGCTAGCTTGTCTAACCTTGAGGGCTACTGAGGCCCCGTAATGCAACGAGAACACGGGTGCTATGTAATACAAAACGCCTCAGGCCAGAAAACACTACAAATGCGGCAGCCTGTTTTTTTTTTCTGCAGCACGTTCTGAGCAGCAAGGGAGTGGAGAACGAGAAAATGAAGATGATACTTTTCTGTTTGTCGCACATTACTCAGATCAAGGCCGAAACTTTTGGCCATAATCTATGGGGGATTTGCAGTTACAGTTGGACAGGTGCGGCCTGCTTCTTTTTTCTATCGCACCCTCAGATCACAGACTGACTTCTCTTTTAGTCATTTTTTTTTCTCAGCTCAGCTTTTCACAGTTTACAACATTTTTTCTTTCTCTTTGCAGAGTAGTAACCTATATGCTTATTTTGATATTGGCAATCAGCAGGCTTCCTCTTGGTGATGCATCTTGTCAGAGTTTCAGATGCATCTTGTGTGCACAGTTTTGGATTGAGCTCCGCGATGCTGTGACTCAACTTTGAAACGCTTGTAAACTCTATTCGCAAGGGGATTAGTATAACCTTGAGACCTCTTGTAATTTGGGAATTACGTCCCATCGTCAGTGTTTGGGTGCAGCTCATTCACACTGGATAAGCAGAGTCTGTAATTAACTTACTGAGATTGAAATGTCCAAGTGCTGCATGACAGTGACAGCACATAAAGAGTTAAACTCTATACAAAGAGGCAACGCAGAGCACTTTGTGTTTTCAGGGGACAATGCCTTTATGTACATGTACTGTTAGCCAGTGTTTCCCACAGACAAGGCAGTACCATCTTTTCTTTTTGAACTCTTTTAAGATCGAAGTGAACACTCTCCTTGACGCTCCTTTGAGTGTACGCACTGAATAATCGTCTGACACCTGCTCTGCAGACGATCAGAGGGCGCCTCATCCACACAAATCAGCTGTTGTGGTAACGTAATGTTGAGTGACACATTTTAAAATTAGAGTTGTGTTATTGGGCGACTTTATTAAATATGCAGCTAAAGAATATTGACAAGAGATCAGACACATACGGCTAAGGAGAAGTGGTAGGAGGCGGGGCAGAGAAGCGCTCTGTGTATTGAGAGAGAAGAGGTGTTCCTGTGTGTGTTTGTTAAGGAAATTAAAGTTGCTTGTTAAGAAACAATGAAATATGTTTTCAATTTACGACCCATAGCTCCTTGCCCTCATGTCATTCCCAGCTCTCTCTCTCCCTGATTTCTGACTCTATCCACTGTCCTGTCTCTACAATAAAGGCACAAATAGCCCAAAAATAAAATCAAAAAAAAACCTTAAAAAATGTTAATTTCAAAAATAACTGCTATGCCGATTCGGTCTGGGTTACTTTATTTATCAGAGGACCTCTGTGTTTGCTGAAACATGGTGGGGTAGTTTGCTCTGAGATTTTTTACTTTACAAATTACAGACATGATCAATTTGCACAGGATCAAAAAGACAGACGTCCACAAATTTCAAAATGATTAGAGGTCTCCAGGTGATACTAATCCTGTGCAGATGGGCTGTAGTGATATACTACATTGTTATTATCAGGTGGAAGATTAGCCAGGGTCAACTTAACAACTGTCTTTAAATTTCTTGTTATGTATGAAGAATGTTGAGAATTGTAAAGCTAAATGCTAACATGGCTAAGTGCTAACATGGCTCCATCCTCATTCTTTGTGTGCTTGACTTTAGAAATGATATTGAATAAAAAAGGACATTTTAAAAACATGTGCTTGCTGTTCTAAATCGACAAACTAAGTGCAGCATTTTAAAACAAACTGTCAGTGAAGTCTGAAGTGTGTGAGAGACGGAGAGAAAGTGAGGCGTGTGTTTTAGTTAATTGATTTATTTTCAGGGAAACTATTTTCTCACACGCAGTTTCTTATTAACCCCGTAAGTGAACTCAAAAGCAAAAAGAGGCTGTGATGTTTCTGAATATCCACAGCAGCCTTTTCTGAGAGGATCTGAGCACAGAGCCTCTGCGGGAGGTGATGGGATTTCAGTTCATCTTAAATGTGGTTAATCTGGTGGCAGAATGACTGTGCAGCAAAAAAAACAACAACTTTAGATCAGGGCTGCCATCCTTCAAGACAGGATGGAATAATTATTGTGTCATTTCCAGACATAACTGTGCCGCAGATGAATAATCGTCTGTGGTGTCTGTCTCTCTCTTTGTCTTGTGTGCGAAAACAAACCGTGATTAGACTGTCAGATTCAGCAGATGATTACCCCGATCAATTTCAATAATGGCCATATCTGTTTCACGCTGTTTTGATTTGGATATTGGCTCTTTTGTCACATCGGGGAGCAAAGAAGCCTTGATGTTCAAAACAGTGACAAAGAGGCTGGGTTCAAAAGCAAAATTAGGATGGGTGACAGACCTCACGAGCTGAGGGAAGACTGCAGGAAAAAAAAAAAATATTGTTTTAAAGTCCCCATGAAATGAAGAACACATTTTCCCAGTTTTGATTTAAGATTTCCCGTTTTTAAATGCTCATTTATCTGCCAAATAGATTTCAATATCAGACTATTTTCCATCAAAATATCCATATTTTCTCTTCCCTTAAAACATTGCTTATTCATTTTTATTCATTTAAAAACCCTTTTGAAGCTAACTATCCAATCAAATTCATCCTAAAGTTATGTCCCGCCTTCTATCTAAAATTGGTTCTAACCAGTTTTAGTCTTGAAGTTCAGTTTCATGGGGACTTTAAGGCCTGACTCAGACTTCAGGAGTAACTTCAATCAGGTCACACACTGGTCGCGTGATATATACATAATCATCCTCGCTTGCCTGCTTGCTGTGAATTTTTATGAAATTTTACTCAAGGGCTGGCAGGAAAAATTTAGGGTAAAGTCGGTGAAAGATTTGAGTTCATGGTTTTACGTTTTTACACACTATCAGGAAGATTTCAGGGGAAGCATGAAAAAAAGGCTGCTGTCCAATGGCAGTTAACTGTTGGACGAAAAGTTGACGTACAAATGCTTGAGGTATCTGTGAATTTGTACTCTCCTTTTTCTTTTCTATGGCTGAATGATTGAAGCTTTGAAATCTAAAGTATATCAGAGTCCTTCCATTTAAAGGAAATGTATCCCTGGCCACAATCAGTGGACATTCTAAAAGCTTTTAAGCGTCCTTCTATGAATACAAAGTCAGGGGAAAAGGTTGGTCATGAGAAATATTTGATTTGTCGTCCAGTTCAGAGAGTGCTGATTCAATCATCCAACAATTAAATCCTAAATAGCAAACAAATATGATATGTCAAGCTTGATTTAAAGTATGGGGGGAAGCCCGGTCAGTTGTTGTAGAAGTAGTCACAGATATGTAGGACTATAGCTGTATCTCATTTCTTTACTGCATCCTTTGGAGGCCACATTTCAAAACTTTTCATGTCACAGCAGCATGTGGAAGGCTGTTTCATTTCCTTCAAATGCAGCATAAGCACGTGCCTTACTTTTTTCCAAGCCAAAAACAATAAAACAAGTTCATCATATGTGGACCAACATATCCTGAGAGTCATTGACTGCCAATTTAAAGAATAAAATACTTTCAAATGTAAATAATTGGTTTCAACTGTTGAAAATGTACCAAAATGTGTGTTTAATAAATACAATACTGTCTTATTTCAGTTTGGCAGTCTATGCAGGCTGCAAGGGAATGAACCTTTTGAAGGATGCTACTCCCAATATGAGACACAGCCTCAATCTGTAAACTCCTCACATTGCCAGATAATTGTGGTACGACATCAGTGCTGGACGAGGTCCCAGACCAGATTTAGCTTCCTGTTGACATGAGGGTTACGTCATCAATTGGCCTTAAACTCCACAAAGTCTGAGTCTGGCTACAGAGAGGGAACGTATAAAAATGGAACAGTGCAGAGATCATGGGTTCTCTAGCTCCTCTCCTTGTTGACTAAGCTTGCATTAATTTAACAAAATAACTGTATGTGAAAACACAATCAGAGCTGTGGGTTTAAAAGGAGCGCATCAGTGCCCCTCCACTAAACACACACACACACACTCTTAATTTGTTTTAATAGACTGCTCCTGTTTGATGTTGTGTTAATGGAATTCTCCAAATCCTTTAGAGCTGCACACAATCCAACACTGCAAAGTGCAGCTCTCACAGAAACCAACAGTCAACACATTTGTGTTTGTGCATCTACATAAACACATCCAACGATGCATTTTGGAGCAGAGGCATGATCTTCTCTCCTATATTACAAAACAAGTGGCCTCGGGCTTGCTTTTTTATCATGTCCACTCAGCTCTTTTAGATGTTTTTTTTTTTTTTTTTTTTTGGGGGGGGGGGGTGTGGAGCTGAGAGTGTGGTCAGCTTGGTGTAAATGGTTTTTCCAAAGCAAGGGGATGTGAGAGAAAATAAAAATGTCTGTCAGTGTTGGTGCTGTGTTGTGAGAGGTTTTGATTGTTGCATAAAGTTCTCACGCTTACAACTAAACAAGCATTGTCGCCTTCTGCCTCTAAAAAAACGCCAGCGGCTGATTTTTATCCTCTTCCTATAACTCATGTCTTTTTCTGAAAATGCAGAAATATCAAAAAAGTGATGAGAGCAGTTGCAGCCCGTTTGCTCACGCCTGTGATCGACCTTAGTTTATTGCAGTTGGCTTGCATACTGTACAGTGCGCCTGCATTTTCTTTATATTTCAAAAAGATCTGGAAATGTGTTCAGACGAGCATTTTTACAGTCATAAACCACAAACTATACATTTTGGTTTAAAGGTATCTAGGATTTTATATGTTTTCCAAAACCACTCACATGGTCACGTCTCCCTCTTATGTTTGTGAAAAGAATACACTACTTTTTAAAAGTGTCCACATGTTTTGTTTGGTGTTGAGACTAGTGAACAGAAATCCTGTGAAGTGAGATGTTGTAAAAACTGCTAAGTCTTTGGGTTATTGGTGTCTAAATACATGCAAAACTCTTTTTTATTTTCTAGTAACCTGATGTTATTGAGTGACCTCTAACCCTCTCTGGTGCTGGTTCGGAACATTAACAGCAACATTTTCTCCTGGGGAAAAAATAAATAAATGGTGCCCTGTAGGAATGGTGTTGAAACACGTGTAGCAACCGCAGTAATAAATCTGCAGAACTTAAACCAGATGTCAGCTCCACAAAAGTGGAGTAAAATCCGTCTTCTTGTTTAACTGTTTAATCATAACAATTATTTATGACACCATTAGTGTACAACCATCCTGGTAAAGAAAAATAAACAACAAAGACATATAAACTAGGATATCGTCCTAAATAATTACAACTTCATTTTTTTGCCTTCTCAAAATATTCAAAACTAAACATAATTAAAAAAAATGAAATTAGCATAACACAACTGTAAGTAGATCTCTAATGCTGAGAATCAAAATACTCAAAGGTCAAAAACAATTCTGCTTCAAACAACCACGCAGAATGATCATTATTTTACATTAAAATATGATAATGTCAAACTTGCAGCCTCTGGGTATCCTAGATTCTTCTGCTAAACCGTCTCGGTTTGACTTTGAGGTATTTAACATTCACCTCGCATACTTGCTGTAATTTGCCTTTTACTGGAGTTGAGATGAATATGCAATGTAGTCCAAACTTAAAGACAAATCAATTGTAAAAAGGAGGTACCACATTTAAAACATTTTTTTTCTTTGTTACAAGAGTTTTAAATGAAAGAGACAATTCAGAATAACGTCATTTAGAGGGGAACATATCGAAACACATGTCAGTTATAATGCGAGAAAAGGTGTTATACCTTTAAGATCTTAAAAAAAGCAAAATCTGAATGTTTTGTTATTGACTTATTTAGTGGGTCAACATAATTAGGTAAGCAGGGTACTCGATGCACACTCATCGTGCATCACTTTATGGTTCTGGTTAAAAACAAAAATAAAGAAAAGAAAAAACACTCACTCGTACGCACACGCATACACACACAGACACACACAGACACACAAACTTCTTGTGATCGATTCCAACCCTCTTCAAAATTGAAGCAGGAATGGCAGAAGAGCTATGAAGAGGAGCCAGCAGTGTGAGTTGATTCCCGATGGTCCGCCGTTGCCGTCCTGAACTGTTCTCGGTTCTGACACAGGAGGGAGAGGAAGAGGAAAATAAGAACAAAACACCTGGATAAGCTTTAATTCTAGACACCACATACAATCATTTCCCATCTGCCTCTTTCACTTTAGTGGCTTAAAGGAGACGTCCACTATTTTTAAACCTCCCCCTTTTAGGTCTGTATTACTAAAAGTAGAAAAAGTGTCAGATAGTTTCAGCTAGCAGCTGCCAAACAGGCTGTAGTGTTAGCAAAGTGTCTGACATTAAATACAGTTACAGAGACAACTTTTTTTGTTAGAGTAGCAAGGAACAGCTGTAACATCACTCTTCAATGCCTACAGACTGCGTTTATTCCACTAGATGATCTAAACACAACTCCATCAGTCAGTGTTACTCTGTGACTTTAGTGTCCTACATTGTTAGCTTGGTTTCTACAAAATGGTTAGTTTGGATTGGAAAAAAAAAAAAGTTTTACACAATCTCACAAATCTAACAAATTGCGACAAACAAGCGACACACAAGTCAAGCTAGTTTTATTAATTTGAGTCCATTGGTTATGAAGAGAGATATTTAAAAATGTGTAAATGAATATCAACAAGGTAAATGATGTGTCTATCCAAAAAATTATGAATGATCTTGAGTATAATGTAATTTCTAGGAGACAGTGTTGGCATGAGGGTATCTAGCACAGTGATTCTCAACTGGTGAATTGGGACCCAAAAGTGGGTTGCAGAGAAGCTTCCTGTGGGTCGCAGTTTATGTGTGCCTTGAGAATAAAATTGTGTCAAAAAGTCTATGAAGAAATAATAACAGCGAAACTCCATCTAAAAATGGAATTGTTCTTGGTTCTTTGGGCTCCTGTCATTGCTTACCTTTATCGATAAGATATTTAATTTCCTTTTATTTAAAAGAATACATTATGTATATTTCTTTTGGTTAAGTTGGGTCGTGTCAGTAGACATATTCACAGCGAGTCTCCTCTTTATGTGGACGAAGATGTTGCCATGAATTTAAATTACCTACATTACATGTTAGCCAAACTGTAAATCATTCTTGTAAAATTCTTACCATGTTTCACCAACTGACATATGTAAATACAAATATGTAAAGCTGAATTTTCAACAAAAAAAGTCTCAAAACAAAAATGTCTAAAAAGACCTTTTTGAACTTTTTTTTTTGTTCCATTTCCTTGTTCTGTCATATGTTTTCTACTGTTTGAGGTCCAAACTGCACAATTTTCCATTAGATAAATTCTGATTGGATGAGAAATATCAGATATTTGGGTCGTTGATTGTTCATGGAGGAATTGTTGATGGATTCTGAGGCTGGACCACTTGAGAACCACTGATCTAGCACAAGCACAGTCCAGCATCACAGTTTGAAACTTCACATTTAAAAGATTTTTTTTTTAAATTTAAGTGGGTCTGATGAGTAAAAATATGTTTAAATAATTACTTTCTTTTTCTTTGGGAAAAATAAAGAGCTGGATTTGTTGATGAAACATTGCATAAAAACAAGTGATTCATGAAAGCATTTTAACAAAAAAAATTGAAAGAAAAACTGCCTCTCGGCAAGCAACAATATCCGATCTAATCTCTGGCTGAGTCTGCTTTTAAACCTCTCTTGGCCCCACTCTATTTGGAGCAAACCATTGCAGGGGGATAAGGGAAACCAAAAAGTTGAATTCCAACTGAATCAATTGTAAAACACTTGGAGTACCTCAAGGCTCTAACCATGGCCCTTTTTTAAATTTCAAACATAGTGTAAATAAACTTAAATAAACTTCTCTGAATAACTCTATTGAACAACTTGAATTTTATTTAAACTTTTTTTTTTTTTTAAATTCAGAAATGTAAGGCCATAGCAAGTCGGTCGTTAAATTTGTGCAATTTTCAGTTCTGTCTTTTTCGACTGAAACAGCCAGAAATTACAATCTATCTAAAAAAACATGATACAACTTCACAGTCTCTAACTTTGATGGAAGACAAGGTGTGTAACTGTAAGATAATTCCCTTTACATTTTTTGAGAAGTATGTAAGATAATGTATTTATTAGCTTGCAACACATACTGTAGCATATGCCGCCAAATTTAATCACAGAGGCTCTAAAAACAACATGATTATGTTCGTATTATGCTCTCTGTTGAAGTTAAGTGTTACCATTGCTGACAACAAAGTATTTGGTTGATAAAGGTCTTAAATTAAGGTGCTTAAATGTTGACAATGTCAATGTTCTGCTTTCCCTTATCCAGTTAAGTTGGTAAATGCTCCTGTATTATTCTTGGCTCAGAATCTTTTATAATGTAAGTACAGCCATGTGGTCAATTCTCAGGAATCTACAGCTACAATGGAATATTATAACCCAAATTCAAACACACCCACAGTGTTTCCATCATGCTCTTTTCACGGATGAGTCAAATTCTAACTAAATGAATGTATTGTATGAGGATTGAGGACACAATTTAACTTTTTACTTTGAAGCTGGTTACACAATGACTACTCATTTCCCCAGGATTTCCATCGGTTCACCACTGTTTCCTTTGGGGCATCTATCCAATTACTCTGCCACAGTGGATTATCCCTAATCCTGCATATGGTTAATTAGAATAATGACGTTCACTTTCAGTCAAAGGAAAGCCATTAACACAATTATATGACTGGAGTGGGCTTGCTTACAAGATGTTGCAACCAGCAGTCACAAGGACACATTAAGTGGCAAGATGAGCAAGGTGTTTCTCACTACACTTTGATAACAACTCTTGCTGTAAAAAAACAAAAAGAAAACAGTCTGCAGTCAGGTTCTGCACTTTTTTCTGTTTAGTTAAACTTTTGTTCTTTGAAGGATGTACAGTTGGAACATATATGAAGGTACAAACAACGGCACAAACACAAATAATGAAAATGAAAGTTGATGAATACTTACAGAAGAAAAAGAAGAGGCATGCAAAAATCAAAACGAAGCCACGTCACACAGAGAGGTGGGTTAGGTTTACAAAGGAGAAAAAATGAAATGTGGTTAGCAAAAAACAGGCTGTGATGACCATTTCACAAAGATACACATGATATTTTCATCTTCTTCAAAAATGTTTCTCACAGATTAGCTTTAACAAATCATGCATGAAGAGAACAGACTGTTATTTAAGTTAATAAAGGTTCAGAAAATACCATGTCTCATCACGTGAAACACTTTTAACTCCTGTGTCACTGCAGCCTCACTTTCAGTTTGTTAAAAAATGTCAGCATGCAGTTAACGCCGATCATACAAGACAGTTAAACGGCATGCTGGTACGGATTACTGACCTTGCATTAGTGTGGCGCTAGTGGGTTCAATTACCACTAGACCAGGGGAACAAACGGAAACAGAACAGCAACACATCACTGACAAAGCTTGTGAAAAGCATGAAAAGTAAGCGGCTGATAGGCCTTTACTCCATGGCTGCACAGTTCAACCTCATTTATTAAATTAGAGCTGCTGACAAAGTCCATTCAATCAACAAAATATTAATTCAAACAGTAACATAGTATCTATAAAGTGATAATCTACAACATTCTGCACATAAAGTTCAACATGAAATCAAAGCAGGTGTTTTACTTTTTTCTATCACAAACGGTATGCCCTGCAAAGATTCCAACTGTGAACCAGAACGCATCTGTAAATGTTTTATAAATGAATCTAGGTAAGCGTTTTTAAACTTTATACCTTGATTATGTCTTCTTTTCTTATCTATCTTGCCTTGATTATTTATTACTAGTTATGTGACCTAGTGCACAACACTATATTTGCATTAAAGGGGCAATATGTAACTCTGACACCTGGTGTTTAAAATGGGTGCTGCAGTCAAAATTCAAAACATTGGAGAGAGCTGCCCCCCTCGCCCCCTCCTACCTAGAGCCGATGCTCAAGCGAGTTGCCTTGTCACGGCCACTTCTGTGTTTAAGCGGCTCAGCATTGGTCTTAAAACCTTTCTCCAATATGTAACGTAGTTTTACCACATTTCTGCTCTTGAAGCTTATTTGAAGCTTTTTAGGTCGGGTATAATCAGTTTGATTTGAACCAGTTCACTTGCCCTCTTCCATCGCTGCAACACCTGTTGGTTTGCCTGAAAACCAGAGGGGCCGCCAAAATGGCCGTGTGGGGGTGCCTTAAAACTGCCTACTTCTCTGGTCAAGACAAAAACAAATCAATCTGGATCGGAATCGAAACTTAGAAGGAGGACATACTGGCTGCTGCATTGTTCACAGAGGAGCCAGCACTTCAACATAGCATGTTTCCTTAATGTATGATCATGTACTAAGTTCATTTTATTATTTGATTCAGTAGATATCTTACAGATTGGTCCTTTAATCCACTTTACAGTAGTGTTTTTGAACTGTTTCAGTGGCTGGCTCAAAGGGGTTGGAGTATACTTGTTCTTCACTTGAGCTGTTGAATATCTGTTTGTCTGAATTAATATTTCTGATGTTGTCTTTTGTGTATCTGTTGTGTCTTGATGCTGCTGCAGATCTAACTCTTCGGGATATTAATAAAGTTGTAGTCGAAGTTCCAGTATGTGTGTGGCTCCTTATTGACAAAAAATCATTTTAGATATTTGAATCAAGATTTGGGAGTTTTTCAATTTTGTTAAAAAAAATAAATAAATGTCAAAACTCATTCTGCACTCTGGGCTGTTTACAGATTCATCATCCAAGGACTGCATCATAATATTTTTTTATTTCCTCACTCAAGAGGCACAGAGCTCACACAGAGAATCCACTGTATCTGAAAAAAAGAATTTATCTCCACGTACTGTAGCACTGTAGAGTGGACATAGAAGATGTAATCATGCAGAGGTGATGTCTGAGTGCGTCTTCATGTGTAAAGAGCAGCACAGATTGTTGCTTTCAGATGCATCATGTGTTCAATAAACCTTTTTCATATTATTTAGATTTTTCTGTTTAAATCATCTTGGGACAACCCCAACCCCTCCCTTGGTGTATCTTGACCCCCCAGGTGGTCCCAACCCACACTTTGGGAACCTTTGTATTAAAGTCATATGCTGCCATTGAGGTGATTTTTAGTGTTCATCCAGAAAGTGAAAAAAAGTTTGGACTGTCCAGCAGAATGTAATCAAAGTAAAGAGAGCATGGTGAATTTGCTCCTTTTGTAAACTGCAGTGGACTTCATGAGAATCTGACAGGATTCAATACAGACTTGGAACATTGTAATTTGTTCTGAAGGTACAGTGTTATATGTTTAACCTTGAGAGATAGGCATCTATACATTACCATAGTAAACACAGAATGCAGCTTTTGCATTGGATCTCAAGGCTGTTACTGCACATAACCAATATCACCACTTATTGAGTAGCCTTTAGTCGAAGTGCTACACACTGATGAATTGGAAAACCTTGTCAGTCAGACATGAATACATCATTGTATATGCTATGCAGGACTTTGAGTTTGAAAAAGGAATATTTTGAATGCAAAAATGGTAAATGTAAAACCTTAAAGACATAGAGGTACATATAGAAATCGCAGGTTGAGGGAGGCAGAATGAACATCGAAAGAGGTTTGGGATTATCACTTTCACAAGGCGGCTTTTTCTAACCCTCTATAACTATAACTATCTATAACCATATCTGTAACATTGTAACCCACTCCTGTACTCACCAAACAGAAGAAAGCTCATGTTGGAGCTCCCGATGCTGTTGATTGCGATACAAGTGTAGTTGCCGTAATCTCCATCGGACACATTATGAAACATCAGCTTGGACAACGATCCAGTGTTCAGGATTTCCACGCCATCGATGCCACTGAAGATTCTGGATGGGATACAAAGATTTTAAAAGACAGTGATCTCAACCAACACGTCAATTATTGTGATAACTTCTTTTTTTAGGTCATTAGCCAAATTACCAGAGACAACGCATACATTTGACCAAATTGTATTCTGAAAGGGATACTTCATCCATTTGCATTAATCTTTGTATCATTAGAAACCTGGTAGTATTTTTGAATGGTCGTGCATCCCGCCCTCATTTTCCCCTGAGATGGGAAATCTTTGTATTTCTAAGTCTGAAAAGGAGCTTGAAGCTGTTGGGGTTAGCGGGGTGCAACTACAACGCTAGTTCCTCATATTTTCGACCACTGAAGCTACAGACCAATCACAGTTCAGTGGGTGGGAACTCACTCCCAGAATCGAAACTTTATGTCCGCCATATTGCTTGGAAGCTATGCTAACAGGCTCTATGGAGAAAGCTGATAATGGCGAAAAAATATAAATATAGTGTTGAGATGGCTGCTGCCGACAGGCCGGTCTTGTGCTTTGGCTGCTACGGCTGCCGGGGCCGCTGCTGGCCGCCGGGGCCACCCCGACACAAGACCGGCCTGTCGGCAGCAACCGTCTCGCCGCTACATTTCTATTTTTTTTGCCATTATCAGCTGTGCATTCTGGGATTTGGTGTCTTTCATCCACATGAGCCAAAAAGACACTTTCTGCCTTTTCTCGGCATTTCTTCAAAATGTATTTCACATTTCTACTACATATATGACCCAATGTCAATACAGATTCATGTTTCAACAGGTGAAGTATCCCTTTAATGTCTGTTTGTCTGGCAGCCGATCAACAACCATCATAAAGTGTGGGAATGGAGGTAAGCACAAACACATTTTGCATTTGCCAACATTAGATGCAAATGTAAAGCCATTTACCTTCTGTCATCTTTATACCACTCAAAGTCTGCCTCAGGCACTGCATCAGCCTCACACTCCAGAACTCCTCTCTGGCCCAGAGTCACTCCGACGTCTCTGCCCTCTGACACAGTTGGAGCATCTACAAGCAGGCAGAAACACATGAGAGAGCTCCAAGGCAAGTCAAGGAGATCAGGAGGAGGGGTCACGGCTCCTGCTCCTCTGTTTGAAGATTCTGATTCTCAGCTCTGATCTGGTCCAACAACCAGGGATTCACAAGATGTGCAATATTTATTATCCTAGTTGAACTACATGGTTCAGCATATGAAGATAGAGAGAGAGAGAGAGAGAGAGAGAGAGAGATAACTGATCAGGATTTAGTTTGAATGTAAAATGTTTCAGTTTTCTATCAAGTACTGCATTTAATTTCATTCAAACAAAATGAATGTCACAAAATACTTGACTCAGTGCCATAATGGATCCAATACAAATGTGTGCAGGTTGAATGAGAATAAAAAACCCTTCTCCTCTCCTATTCAAATTAAAAAAAAATTTGATTCACAGTAGTCTAAAAAAAACATTGAGTGTTGAAAAACTGATATCAGATGATTGAATACTAGCCAATGAAGTATGGGTCTACAACTAAAGATTCTTCTTTTTTAATCGTACTTATTCTTCCAGATAAGGGCCTGTGGTTTCTTTGCACTGGCAGTTCAGCATTTTCAACACTCATCGTCCTGAGCACCCTCTGTGTCACCTGCTTTTTGTCGCTTCGCTCACAGCACTCTTAGTTGAAAGGAATTCACCTATTAATAGAGCGCCACACTCTTCATTGTCACTTCCTCCTCTACGACAAATCGAAATTAAGAAGACTTCTGATAACAGTTTTATTAACAACAACGGTGGAGATGAAGCTTGTGTAACTCGTCTTTTCGAGGGAACAATTTCCAGAAATGTCTAGAGGTGTTGCTGATGCCAGGACATGACTCATTCACATCGTTTTCTTGTTGATATTGCTTTTAATTAAAGCAAATTCAAAGCACACTAGGCTATCGAAAACACACCGAACAGATATTAGAGAGGGAAGCAGAATCTAACTTTCGTAACCTAGCAACAATGAGCGCTGGCTTTTCAGGCACCAGAGCTCTGAAAAGGAGGTTGTGGACACAGGCCCTAAATTGTGTAATCACTTTGGAAAGGAAGCAACAATTTAAAGTGTACTTTAATCATAACTAATGCCTGAGAAACATCTGCCAACTCCTCTCTTTGTACCTTCATATAAGACTCAGAAAGCAGAACAGGCTCATAGTTGAGAAAGTGGAACCAGAATACATTAATATATTTTCCTCTCTTTTTTGATGATTTCATTAGTACTAAGCTTTTTAAATAGCTAATAGCTTATAAAAAACAGACTAATTGATACTTTTATCAATGCTAATTTAAATACAACAGGTTTCAAGTCTCCAGCTGAAGCAGTGGACTCACAGTTGACGGTGATGTCGACGGTCTGGTCGTCTGTGTCGATATCGTTGACAGCTGTGCACTTGTACGTCCCTGCTCTGTGTCTGGAGATAGACAGGATTTCCAGGTACTCATCGTCTGAGGCCAGGTCCCCTGTGTAAGGTCACACACACACACACACACACACACACACACACACACACACAAAGAGGGAGTAAGTGGAGACGGTCAATTGGAGTTAATTTGACAAGTCTGTGGCTGTGGCCCCGATTGACACGATTACACCGTGTCCCTGCATGGCCTCTGGGAAAGTCATCACAGTGGTGCACAGAGAGGAAGAGGAGGGAACGTGTTAATATAGATAATTGTTACTATATTCACTCTACTAGTTTCAACTGTGTTTTTCATTTTGTGATCCAGAGTGCAGACGATCAACAATTATTCTAACATTTGTAATTATCTGTTTTGAAATTGACTGTGGTTGCTCTGAAGGAGTCCAGTGGCTGTATTCATTTCATTTCATTTCATTTGTTTAATTTATATTATACAATGTAGAGAAATACTTTTTCTTTTTTTTTGCCTTTACAAAGAATGAAAAGGTGCAGGAGGAAGAAAAACTTATAAACCTGCCCTTTGTATACAAAAAAAGGGTTGAAATGATTTTCCTTTTTTTTTTATTACAGTCATGTACTGTGGCCAAAACCCATACTTCAATACATTCACATTTATACACGCCTCGTGTGGGTACAATCCACCACACACTTAACATTGGAAAGAGAAACAAATCATTCAGGTCACTTTAAGAGTTGACCAATTTAATCCAATCAATTTAAACATAAGTCTTCTGCCTCATACTGGGAAAATATTTTCTTCACAAAAAAGGTTTTGAGTTGTCGAGTGTTTAAACATCAATGTAAGGCTCTCTCTTGACAATTCCATAATTTTACTCCATAAATTGAAACACATCTTTGTTTTAATGTTGGTATAAAAGAATTCACCTTAAAATAATGAATGAATAATAAGATTTTTAATAGATCAGATCTTCAAATTTAACCAATTGTGATATCAGGAATAATTTGTTGGTGTGTTCTCTTGGACTCGTCTTGTGTATGATCCTGATGGCTCTTTTCTGCAGAATTTTCAGGGGTTTTAAATGGACATCTTATGTTTTACCGCACAGCTCGGTACAGTAGCTGATATATGGAAGGATCAGCGACGGATACAACATTTTAAGTTCATTATAATCCAGTAGATATTTAACATTATGTAATATAGCAATGTTTTTTAAGATTTTAGATTGCACATGAATTAAGTGAGATTTCCAAGATAGTTTTTGATCTATTATCACACCAAGACATTTACCAACACCATTTCAATGTGGTCCCCATCTATTTTCCAAACTGATCAATGCATCTTTCCTTTTATTACCAAAAATAATACATTTTGTTTTACTCACATTTAAAGTTAATGTATTAGTGTCAAACCAATTCTTTAGTTTGACTATTTCATTATTGGTGATACCCAAAAGCATGTTTAAATCATCACCCAAGCAAAAAACAGTGGTGTCACCAGCAAAAAGGACATATTTAAAGATGGCTGATGAATTGCAAATGTTGTTCATAAACAGAATAAAGAGGTTGGGACCTAATATTGACCCTTGTGGAACAACTGATATGTCCCGAAACTGTGATTTATAATCACAAAGCTGTACCTATTGCTTAGGTAACTTTGTAACCAATTATAGGCGATACCTCTGATACCGTACGCACATAATTTGGAGAGAAGAATTTCATTATTTATTGAGTCAAATGCTTTTTTAACATCTATGGATAGCGCTACGATATAAAGTCTGTTTTCTGTTGCGGAAGTGATGTTTTCAATCCATAATTGCCATTGTTGTCAATCTTTTTTTCCTGAAGCCATACTGGTTCTCACTCAAAACTCCATTTTCATCTAAGAATAGGTCTAGATTTTTTGCAAAAACTTTGGAGAATTGAGAGAGTAGAGATATTGGCCTATAATTCTCAACAATGTGGACATCACCTATTCACAAGTACAAGTAGTAAGAGCTGCTCTTCGTGCTAAAAAGAACGTCCTTAGAATAGTGATGGTTTCTAAGAATTTCCCCCTAAATATACGACTAGATCCTGGTAAAGAAGTATTAAAGTTATTCACAAAGAACCTTAGCCCATAAGAGAGGAGTAGTGATGAGGACATGTAAGATGTTGAAGATTTTCTATTGCAGAGGAGAAATCGGCACAAGAGGTGATCACTCAAACAATTAGAGTACAGCTCTGTCACAGCCTCATGTTAATATCAATTACACAAAGTACTAAAGTAATGTATTTATCCATCATCTATGCCACATTTCCTGTTTGGGTTGCCAGGAGCTGATCCAAGGTGTTATTGGTCGAGAGGCACCCTGGACTGGTAGCCAGTCAATCACAGGGCTGACATAAAGACAGACAACCAGCCACATTCACATCGACGGGCACTTTTAGAGTCACCAGTTATCCTAACAAGAGTCATCCTAACGAGAGTGTCTATAGACTGTGGGAGGAAGCCGGAGTACCCACTAAAAAGTTTTCATGATTACACAATGTCTGACTGGATTATATGAACAAGTCGAGTGGTTTCGTTGCTTTTCTATGCCCATTATCACTAATGGAACATTTTTATTCTTTTATTTTTTCTCTTTTTTTCATATCAACCAATCACAGGGTTTGAAATAATGTGTCACCTAGCAACCGGTTCAATTATGCTTAGATAAAAGTTTCTGTCCCTTCTTCACTCAGAGTTGCGCTGAAATTTTTCCTATATCACTCCTCAACTAGGACTCATTGCTAGTGTTTAATATATATAGCTAAGTGAGGAGCTCTCTGAAATTAATCTCAAACTTTTTGTGAATATGGACCTACCTTGGTTTCGTAACATTAAGAAAGACCCAACTCAAGACTCAACTTTTCCTGACTGTAGCCTTTGCTTGTTTGTTGCTATATTAATTATCACAGTGCGGTTTAGGACCTACAGCAGTCTCAACATTGATAATCTTTCACAAAGGTTAAACCTGGTCCATGTGGTTCAAAGGTTTTTCTGGATGACAATTATCAGGATTTGGACACATGTACTGTACTGTACTGGACACATTTTTGTGTCCCGTATCAGGTCATCCAGCTAACTTTTTCTTCATGTTATTTTTAAAGAATAGGATAAAATAAACCTGATCCAAATATGGACTTAGGACTTAAACATGGACTTATGGATAGATGGTCCAAAATCCATTCCTTATATGGGACTTCACACTATAGGGGGCACCAAAATCAACACAAACTGAGAGATCCATAAAGCTGCTATAGATAAAGTATTTCATGTTTCATATTTAGAGCTTTTTGAATAAGTATATAATGGGAAAAATAATAATTTAAAATGATAATATATATGACTTTTGATATCTTAGATTTGACATTTTTGCACTAGTCTCTAAGACCGAAACAAAACTCCTCTGCACACCCTTCCCTCAGTCCCGACGAAGTGAAATTGTTGTGGAAACCTTCTAAGCTAAATGAAAACAATGACACTTCCGTGCCAGAAGGAAATGTTGGAGAAACGGAGTAAAGACTGTGCCTATGATGTTTTTCTGTCCACCATTAGTCACCTGAGCTGATCTGATGTTACAACTGATTACTGACGTGATATCAATCAATACATTTTTATTTGTATAGCGTCAACCCATAACAAGTGTTATCTCAAGGCACTTTACAAAAAGCAGGTAAAAGACCTTACTTATTGTTATGTTACAAAAACCCGGTCTATCCATCATGAGCACTTTTAAGTAAGTTCTGATCTCAGAATTAAAATAAGAGTGACCTCCTAGGGCCAGATTTATTAAAGGTTTGCGTGTCTTAAAACATGTGCAAACTTGATACCACCAGCAAAAAAAGTGCTATCTGATCTACTAACAGCGTGCAGTGAGGATTGCGTCTTTCATATGAGCAAAACAACACGCATTGTCCATTTAGTAAGTTTGACTTAATGAATATTCAATATGGGGCGTTTCTGCCCTAACGTGCAAAATACTGGGAGGAGAAAATGCAAACAAGTTAAGTTAGTACACGCATTATGATTTACCAAACCTGGCAAAAATTGTGGTGATTGTGACTGTGTCTGTATTTAACACCTTTGAAAAGAATGTGCTAATCAAGGAGCACACAACAGGCACACAACAGCCTCCCTCTACACACAACAGGCTGCTGTTAGTGAAGTTAGGAGGAGACATAGGCACAACAAAAGAAGGCATAAAGATCACGTTTTTCCCCACGTGTTTACATGTTTCAAATGACAAAAAAATAAATGGCATGCATTTATTTTTTTAATTTGATTCAATATTCTAATCATTGAGGAAGAGAAACACCATGATTAAACTACAGGCTATTGTTGCCATAGCCTACAGCCAAAGAAAACTGAACATTCACAGCCTCTGAATTCTATAGAATTTCAACATTGACATTTATGTCGTCCTATTTCTCTCTTTTCACCAACATTATATTTTAAACTGGGGATTTCCTTTTTCTCAGGTTGCGCGTCTCTCCCCCAGCTCGCCCCCTCTGGTGCGCTCCTCTCCATAATGCGCTCGTCTCCTCCCTCTAAAGCTGCTGCTACTCTGTGGGATGCTTGGATTGGGGTACCTCACCACTGTTTGTACCCCCGTCTTCGATACATTTTTCCAGGGCATTTATGTCCGATCAGACACAGCGCTGGCCAGCTGTCTGGTGCTCAACAACGGCGAGTGTAGAGCGCCGGTCCACAGAGGACACAGCTCAGACCTCCTGCGCAATGTATGACACTTCGTTCTTAAGATTAAGGGAAGAAAAGAGAGGCAGTGTTTAATGCTGATGTTTTCTTATAACCATTTTTTTTGTAATATTCAGATTTATCTGCTATAACTCAAAAGTATTGTGTTTTTATTTGCCTCTCTCACTAATACCTATTTTACACTTGCAGTCATCCTGCTTTCTGTCCAAACTATCCATGATGTAAACCAGGAGAACACGCAAAAACCTAACTTAAATAGTACCGCCTCCACAAGGTTTGCACCTGTTGTCATTCACGCAAATTTTCTTCGTAGATCACCCGCAAAACGCCCACCAACCAAA